CTTGAGCTTAATCATAGGTCTTCTCAACAGATAAAACTAACCCAAAACAAAGCACCAAGTGCAAATCTTTCAGCAGAAAGTTCTATAAGGTTTGTTTTACAAGACTAAAAACATAGGGCAAGTGATGATGAATTTAAATTATATCCTTTAATTCTCAAACAATGTAGTAATATTGGTTAATCAATGTTTGAAAATGGACATTTTACATAATTCACATTAAATTTGTCAATATTTTTGGATACTGATGTTAAATCTTAACATTTTTAGCTGTTTTATCAAAGATAAGTCCTATTATAGCATGTTTAAGTTCCTTTATAGCTTATTTCATTTTTGTGTGTGTAAAAGCTGTAAATGGCTATATTATTTGTAGCTTGCTTTGTTTTTGTGTATAGAGTAGGCATAACTTGCTATTATATTTTTGTATTCCGATACTACATGAAGTATGTAGTATCATTCTGATACTATTTGGGCAGTTACTACTAAATATTTAATAAACTTTATTTAGTCCTTTCAAAAGCAATACAAATGTCTAATTAATCACACTTTGCTGATCTAAAAGATGTTTCAGGTGCGTTAAAATAGTATTTACAAACCGAACGTGTTAAGTTACATTTCATGGCTGAGATTACCAACAATTTAAAGCTTAATTGATTGATGTAATTGCTCTCAAGTGTCTTAACTTTTCATTTAGTGAGACTGATCACCTCTTGCAGGTTGGTTGCTTTGTACAAAAAACTTCATCGTGCTGTTCATATACTGGAGTACTTCACAACTAACGAATGGACTTTTCATTGCAATAATGTACTGATGTTATTGGACCAGTTGGAGGGAAAAGATAAAGAGGTAACATTTTTCTATTTATTTCGTCAATTTGCTGATTATACAAATTTTTATTAAAAAATTTTCCTGCTCATATTTTCAGCTAACTGAAATCTGATAGGAAATTCATAATGAACTAAGTATTAAAGAGAAATGTGGGTTTCAATTCATTTGTTAGGCCTAATAAGCTTCCTTGTCATTTTAGACAACAGCATTGAATTGTAAAATATAAAATTTAAATGTTTCTTTTGACAGTATCAAATAATCTAAAGTCAATTGCATAAATATTTATAATCTGGTGTTTTTCAGACCTTCAGTTTTGATGTTCGTCCAATAAAGTGGGCACCTTACATGGAAAATTATGTACTGGGAGTTCGAAAATTTATTTTAAAAGAGGATGAATCAACCTTACCAGCAGCACGCCGAAAACTTCAGCGGTAAGTCAAAATTGTCTACTTTAGTAAATGATAGTTAATTTTCTTTGTGTACAGTTGTTTCATTACAAGTTATAAATTACAAAATTGACTTATTTCTTTATGAACTAGCTTGGGTTTGTTTTTTAATAGTTTAGTTTGACTGCATGATTTACTGTTTTATGTGTACTTATGCATTAGGAAAAGTAACTAATAAAATCTGTATTTCTAGACTCTATTATTATGGTCAGCTAACTCGGCTTGCACTGATTCTGGGATTTATTCGTCTTCTCATCTTCCGTTCAGAAAGAGCACGCAAGCTTTGGTGGTCGCTTCTGTCTTATAGCATGACAATTATACAAAGAATTCCTCAGCAGTTAACTTCTTGAGTAAGGATTTTTTGTTAGTTATGATTGGTTACTGGAGATGAGATTGACATGGCTAAAGAGCTTTCAGTTCCGAGATTTGTGTTTTATATGTTAAAAGTACCAAAGCAGGCAATATTTGTGTAATATCATGAAATTCTAGACTGTGGTATTTTGTAAATATGTTGCAATGTTGTAATTTGGGCTTATTTACCTCATCTTTATTTCAAGCTTTTATCATTGTTAAGAAACTCACTCCATCATTTTGTGCAAAACTATGACTTACAATGCACCAATTTGTTGAGATTATTAAACACTTAACTATGCTACATTATTAATACACATGTGATGTCATGATTCTTTTATTTTAACCCTAACAACAAACAACACAGTTATATACAGGATGGGCCATAGAAAACGTTTACCCAATTAATGAACAAGTTTATTTTATAAGACTTTTCTTTCTTAAAGCAAGTGATCATAAAGCATTTGTCTTCCCAAATGTCATTTAACATTATGAATTCCATGTCATTATTCCCAGCAATACATAGTAAGGGAGCTAAAAACTCCTTTTTATTTTTCTATATAAAAATAGTTTTTCTGGGCATGAATTTTCTTTTGCACCTGAAAACCTTTGTAAGTGTTTTGACACATTTTTCATACACCTTGTATCTTAAGACAGTGCCATGCTCATTAAACTGTTGTGACATCTATAAGGGTGAAAAATTCTCCTGTTTGCAGTGATGTTAAGAACAAATTTACAAAATGACCAGTGGAGCATCAAGTTGTAAAGCCTTGCTAGAGGTTTTAAATAGGAATACTTATTAAATATTCATCAAATTTGGCTCTTTACATTCAAGGTATGTTTAAACTATAATCTTCAACACTGCTGCAACAGTTTATTCCAGACAAACCTTTTTATTTCATCATCTTACATTGCTTACAGTGTGAAAATGATTCTTCTAATTTATGCTGCCAACATTCCATTTTTCTGGGAAAAATAATCGTTAAGAAATGAGTCTTCCTCACATTAAACTTCAGTATTTGTATCCAAACAATAAAAAAGAAAAGCTTAAGAACCAAGAAGAACTGCTCGAGTTAATCATGTATTATTGTAGTCTATAACAGCTCAGTAACCATTACAAATATCAAACTTAAATGTGAGGCTTAAGAGTTAAAACTACAATCAAATGTTAGAACAATAAGTTGATGTTCAAAGTTAAAGACAAAAAATAAGTTTAGGCATTTGCTAATTTTATTTACAATATTAAGTTTTATATCTTTAAAATTCAGAACTTCAAGTAAGTAGCACTTAGTTACTTTGACATTTCAAAATTAGCATTAGTCTGTCAATCTTAAACTAAATGGTTACAGAAAAATGCAAAACAAAATGAAAGGTATCCATATTATGTTTCTGGCATTACCTTATTATTGAGTAATGCCTGTTTAGAAAGATGTTTACAGTTCAATGACAAAGAAATGCAAGTGTTCCAGAACTATTCTACCCCAGTGATTTCAATGCTCAATAAAAGTAATACAATGTGTAATACTTCAATAAAACTAACACTAACAAGAAGCTTAGGAAAAACATCACAATGCACTTCTGTGTAAGTAAGAAAATTCAAGAAACTTATAGAAGGTTGTAATAACTGTGTCCCACACTGACTACATTCACAGAAAAAAAATGTTTGAAATTATGTAATAACAAAGTGACAATTACTTCAGAAAAAATGAAATTTTCATTAACCAAGATAAAAGTTGCATTCACATGTATAAATCTCAAAGTTGATCAGACTTGTATTTTCAAGCTTTATCAGTGTAAATACTCTTCCTTGTCACCTTTTTTCTTCAAGTATGGGAGAATATACAATTGTGTAGATAACATGCTGAAACTTTTATACTAGAGCAAAACAATATGATTAACTTATATCATGACACCAAAGAAAAACATCTTAAGCTTGTTATTAATGCAAACCACAGTTAAACATTACTAGGATTAATCTGTCACAAATGGAAGTCAATACAAGTATGTTGATGTGAACATTTCAACATTGTTGGAGTTAAAGTTGGCATAATAATTAACTAATAGAATGTACAAGTAAGATAATCATGTAAATCAATATAACAATTTTCTTTTAAAAATTAAAATTTCCTACACTGATTTTTCTCAGGGATACTTTCAACTGACTTTTACAGTTACTTATAGTTCAGTTATTTTTTCTTCTCTAAACATGTTTATGCAATATTATTTGTGTTGCCAAAATGGCTCAAAAACTGAAGCAATCTTTTGAAACAGTTAGTTGCTTATTTAACAAATTTTTTAACTTGTGATAGCTGCTTAAAAAAAGGATTTTTAGGTAATGTTCAATAAAATGAAACTACATATCAAAAGAAACCCCATGACTAAAAAGGAGATAAGTTATTCTAAAGCCATCTTTAATGACAACAAATTAAAATATTTGAACCTCTTACTAAAATTTATTCAGCTAACTGATCATGCACATGAACCTTACAAATTTAAACTGATCACTTATTACGTGAAGCAATTTTTTGAAGCATCTTTAACAAATAATTTCCTCACCAGAAGAACCTAAGTTTAGAATGTGGGAAAACACCACCTTAAAAACAGATTTAATAGTGTAATACACATGCATGTTTTGCTACATTTTATTAATTTCTTTTGCAGTAATATAAAATGGGTTATACAATTCTACATTTAACAAACAAGTTTGTGCGTACAAGTAAAAACTACGACTAAACTCGTGTGACTTTAGAATACATCAGGGATGTAGCATTAATAGTGCACCACGAACTATGTGTGCTATGCACTACAAATATTTTAATTTCTTCCCTACACTTCTTCATTACTTGAATACTATGTTAATATATTTCCATTCCCCCAGTGGATCAACTGTAGTTACAACAGTTCTCTATGTTACTACTAGTAATGAGTGTCTCTAAGAATCATAATTGGCTGCAGTAATAATTTTTCTACAGTTTTGACCAATAAGGAGATTTTTTATCACTCAAACTTTTTCAAAGACTGTGACTCAATAAACAGGTGGGGTAAGGTACAAGATAAAAAGAGAAGTTATTTCATTTAGTCTAATGTAAAAAAAAAAAAGACATTTTACCACATACAATTTTTAAAAGTTCTACGTGTGATAATACTTCTGAATTTCATTGTACTTGCATTTTATTTACTGGTATTAATCAGTATTTAATGTTTCTGAGACACAGAACTGAAACTAGTGTAACTTTTTCCAGTTAGGGCCAAAATTTGCTATCTTACGTAAAAGTTTTTTTTTTCTCTTGCGCATTAGTATTTTATTTAACAACTGAGAAGCACATCAAAGTAAAAATAAGTTCCATTACAACATTTTAAGGCAAGGAGAACTTAGATTTCATTTTGGAGCACTTTAAAAAAACATCTTCCAGGCATCTAAGTAATCCCTTGCATCCCACTTGTTTTTATCCAGCATGGTACATGTCTGGTCTAGTGCCACTTATGAAGTCATTTCACACCCCTGACAAACATGGGTAAAAATTGTATTGCCACAGTATGCTGTACTATTTGAGAATATTGTTAAAGGTGTGAGACGAAAATAAAATGATAAAGAATGAAAATGCTTGTACCATTAACTAAGTTATCACATACATATGAAATGTATTAACTTCAAAAATACATTATAACATGTAGTAGTAATTTATGTTTATACATCTAATACTTTTAGCAAAAAATTAGTTATCCATCCTGCCATGTGGGGTATTGACAAATAAAAAGCAAAAGTGACTAGTTACACCTGTACTTCAGATTTTTTAGGATAATATGTGGCTCATAGTTTATGTTATCAAAATTGCCATTGTAAACAATGACATTCAATAACTATACGTCATAGATAGATGCATATTTTGTATCTAAACTACGTTAAACTAGATTATTTTCATTCTTGTTCATTCATAATATAAGCTAGATAACATGGACCCAGTCTCTTACAAGAATAGTGACACAACAACAAATCCAGACTTAACCACAGTTTTTAGTCTTCAATTGACTTGATAATACTGAGTTGAGGAGACATCCTAAATATTGTTAAATGTAAAAAGAAAAACAAAAAACTAATTTTAATTACTTGTAGGGTTGAATAGAGAACTGTACAAGCTAAAACTGCCAATTCTGTGATAATTTGAATGAAATAACAGTATAATAAAAATTTATATGTAGTTGTAGCTACAAACTTAAAAGAGGAAAACAAAAGCCAGCATGTTATGTGAGAAAATTTGATACACCCCAGAATTAGGGCTCGTTCACCAGATTACGTGGGAATCACGTTTATAGCTTCATGAAGAATAAGACTTAAGCTGAGATTTTACTTGTACGTTAAACTAGTAATATGAAACTAAAGCTTAAACCAATGGAATTTTTTCTTCTAAAATTAAGATTTCTATATTACTAATAAATTGTTACAGTCCACCAGTGTCAAATGCCTTTACAGCCCATTAGGCTAGGTGGAAAAGGTTTGTAAGCCACCTGTAAATATACATAATACATTATTATGAATACAGTTTAAAATGTTTAGTTGAACAAACATTCAGGATTGTGGGAAAGAAAACTAAACATTAAAAATACATGTAGTAATTCAGTGTTTAACATTTTTTAAACATCCCACATACAAGATCTCACTTCAGACACTATAAAACCTGATTGTTCAGTTAAGTAAAATGTATGAAACTTTTACTGACTGTTGTAGCTGCCACTATTGACAGTTATACAAGATAAATAAAAACTTACTACATTTCTTTCCCTGTACACATACAGGAAGCAAATAATGAACTGCTTTATTCCTGGAGTATTTCCAAAGATTGTTTTTTGACCTCTCTTCATAATATATATGAAGTACACATACATCATCTATGAATAAACTGGGAAGAACACTTATTGTTCGAGACATTCCTACTACATGTGTATACAAACTTTATGCTGAACACAAAAATACCTGTATATTTCCTTAATCCATGCAAATTTTCAAATGGTGAATTTGCAAATCCAAAAACTGATAGGAACATAAAGTTCTCACCACCAAAAGTTTTCTTAAATAGATTATTCGATATAGCAACACGTGAATTAATAAACACCACTGGTTTAGATGTCTAATAAACAGTACACTGATATATCTTTAATCTATATATATTTTTTTTTTCCATGTATTACTTATCTGTGAATCCGCAGGCACAATCCATAATAATATATCACTTTATTTTTCTTCCTCCATTAGAATAATTCATGGAAAAATCAGATTTGGCACAGATGAGAGTAAAAGGTTTTGGTCACATGGCAACATTTATCAACAAAACCTACGATTCAAGCAGTTTTCACAACACATTAATCTTACTACCTCTTGAGATATGTATACAATTAATCATGTATCAGTCTAAGAAAACAAGTGGAACTTCCCGATTTTTTTGTTATTTCCAAAATATTCCAAACCCAACTCCAGATTGGAAGTTAAATTATCATGGAAGCTTAGGCATTTCTCTAAATATTTTCCGAGGGAATGTTTACTCCCTAATTTATACACTGTGTGAATGTATAAAAAAAACAACAGTACATCTATTAATTCAATTATTCCAATAAAACAAAGTTTTGGTCAACATTTAACTAAACATATTTCAATAACGTGACCTAAATACCACACAACTAAAAGTTACCAAATAAACCCTTTACCTTTAACAAAAAATGTAAAAGAAAACAAATGACAAAATGGATCTTCAATTTCTTGAAGATTAATTGCTGTTAAGAAAAAAAACCTCAAATACTTTGAGTTAAAATTCTTAAAGTTTCCTCACTTGTTTAAAGATCATTATTACAAGCAACGGCAGATCTACAAATATTTAGACACTATGTGAAAACCTGGCATCATCTGGTCAGTAATCCATTAAGATGTGCACTACATCATACAAGCAATGATAAAAAAAAAACCCAAAAAACTAGAACCATCATACAAGCATACAGACACATATAAACATAGGTTTCCATGTCCACAAATTTATTAAGGCAGTAGTGTTATTGTTAAACATTCACTTAAAGAATGGGTAAGTCACTATTAATAAAGGGTTCAAATGAAAGCTAAACTTTCCAGTGTAATCAATTTTTAACATTCATTGAAATATACTTCATAAAAGTTGAACGTTTTGATCCTCTTAAAGGCAACAAGTATTTTTAGAAAAGTTTGGAAAGAACTGCTTCATTTTGTCATTTATGTTCAAAAACAAAGCAAAAAAAGTTTTCTTACATCATATATGATAAAAAAAAAACGACAAAAGAATCAACTGTTCACCTCATACAAAGATTCACCACCATTATTTTAGAAATTATCTTATTTTGCCCATTTTTTCAGCTTTATAATTTCACAGTTTAGTGATTTTTCTCCATCTGTATTTCATAAGTCAAATAAAACAAATGCCTTTAGGAGAAAACACTAACTCTTCATATTTTATAATACAGACCTCCACACCACAAAACGTATTACTTCTCAGATTCAATACTTGTAAAGCACATATAATTCCTAGTCTCACTATGATACGATATAAATTTAATATTTTACAACTAAAAAACAAAAAAAAAAAAGGACCCAAGTTTATAGAACCAAGATCGAATAGATATATATACAAGATACAATGTCAGAAAATTTTGCTTCATCACAATTTAGGCATATTGTACTTGATCTTTCAAATATGAAACACATATGGGTTGTTCTACAAACCACACAAAAAATGTTACAAGAATATAAAGGTGTTCTCACTTTGAATACAAAAAACAAAACAGGTTCTATTTGTAAAACGCAGTTTTAAAAAAGAAACTAAACAGTTTTTGTTTATGAGTAAAGCTTTAAAGAGATTGAAGTTTGTCAAAAAAAAAAGTTATTTTATAAAATTGGGAAGTCTCAAGTATCTGGGTAACAAATTCTAGGATTACATGTATACTGTCTTAACATGAAAAACAATTTGCTGGATATTATCACAATTTCAATAACAAGTTCTTGAATGATCCTACTTCATTAATTTGGGGTTTTAAACATTTAATTAATAAAGACTCTCTGATGTAGACTTCTTTCATCATTACATCTGGACAAAATCCTGAACAAATCACTTTTACATTATTCTCACTGCTATGACATGTTAACCAGTCAAGTATAAATGATGTAAGGCTAATATAGAGGTAAGGAATGATTTGTTCAGGATTTTGTAAAGATGCAATGATTAAAAAAATTATAGGTACCAAAGAAAGACTAAGTAGTTAGAACTTAATTTAATGAAAATGGATCATCTATGAACTTATTATCAAAAGTGCCCTAACATGTATGAAAAAATAAAACAAATACACTTAGTAATTACTAAGTAAGTTGAAAAACTATAACTAGATTTTCAAGTTAGTATGTATAAACAGTAAATACTACTTAAATGTTGAATGAAATATTTTGTTTTTTCCAATAACATATTTTAACAGACTTTCACTTGGTTTTATTTTTTTGACCAATACATGCCACTTGGCAAATGGAATTGTATACTTCAAAACATTTTAATTCCCTTTTACTTACGAGCATAACTATACATCTTCAGTAGTGCACTTCATACTACCTCACCATACCCAATGCATTAAAAGATTATTTATTTGTCAACTTAATAGCCTGCATTTCATTTTAAGTTATTCAACATCCATGCTTCATCAACACCTTTGGGCTGATACCATCTTACACAGAAGTACAAACTATTAAAGCAACTTTGCAATTTAAGAAAAACTTATTTACCAACATTCACCTTTAATATTTCTTTGAAATTGGAAGTAATGCCTAGATAAGCTTAAGTTATTTTTTGGGATTACATTCCATTTGCAGTTTAACCGAGATTCAGACTGATATCAAAGTGCCTTCATATCGGCCGAGACTTCACAAGTTCACCGGTGTTCAGTCGTCTCTTGGGAAGATCGCCAAACATTTCTGTACCATCATGAACACTCATTGCTAGAGCCTTAATGCTGGCTACCATTTGTTCAGGGTCATCAGGAGCTGGCAACTGTGAAACAAAATAATGCTTTTCTTTTGTTTTCTGCATCATTTTAACATTCCTTCCAACCCAAAAAGACTTAAGTTTGTTATAGTAACAACCATAAAGAAAGTTAACAAAGAGGTTTGATAACTGTATAAAATGAAGCATTAAATGTTTCACCTTGGGAATAAAAATTGTCAAGAAAAAATAAAAAGTAGCACTTAATTTTTACTTTTATGTTTTTTAGAAGAAAAAAAGGGTAATTTTGATTTATTTCAATTGTTTTTTTTTGGTGGTTACAAGGTTGGTCAAATTTAAACGAGTACGAAGAAGTCACATGGTTGGTCAAATCGACTGAGCCCATGTTGAGAGTTAAAAGTGATAGTTATGACAAGTTTCATTATGTAACTCTGTATGAGTTGTATGTTGTGTATGCTGTTTAATCATTGTACTAGGCTAATTGTACTGGTCAGATCGACTGAGCCCATGTTGAGAGTTAAAAGTGATAGTTATGACAAGTTTCATTATGTAACTCTGTATGAGTTGTATGTTGTGTATGCTGTTTAATCATTGTACTAGGCTAATTGTACTGGTGAAATCGACTGAGCCCATGTTGAGAGTTAAAAGTGATAGTTATGACAAGTTTCATTATGTAACTCTGTATGAGTTGTATGTTGTGTATGCTGTTTAATCATTGTACTAGGCTATTGTTGACATCATCTTACTTAAAGTTTCCAAGTTTTTATTGTTATGTGAATATCGTCGTCACCAAAGGACTATATTTTTCTGTTCTGTGTTATAAGTACATGCAAATACAGAGAAGATGTTAAGTTAGTGAAAGTAAGACAAATGTTAGTGACAAATATAGATCTAGACTGTGTTTGTAAGTTTAGCAATAAAGAGTGTATAGCAGCAACTCTTAAAAAGTTACAATTGCAGATAGTATTGTAATAACAGAGTAGAAAAGAAGATTTAATTTGTCAAACGGATTCTAAAGTAACTGAACCAGCCTGTGTGGACATCTGACATAAAAGAATATTACTTAAAGCTCTGTATACAACTGTGGTAATGCACAGTGTAAAGTAAGTGAATTTATCACTAATTATATTGTGATAAAAGAACAGAGGAGAATCATTTGTCTTGCCAAAAGTTGTTCTAAAGAAGTTAAACCCACCTGTGTGGACTTTGACGGAAAAGAGGTAATGTGATAACCAATAGTGTAAGAAATATTTGTTCATACATTTGACTTGTTTTAAGTATATATATTATTTTAAAACAAGTGGATTGTGTGCTGTCTGTTTATTGTTCAAATTTATTGCCAACAAGTCACAGACACCTACTGTAAAGAATCTGGCCCCTATAAAAACCTAACAATTAGTGTTTGCACATTTATATAATTTGGCTTTCTTCTATATCACATCTTTATGTGGCTGATTTTGTACAATAATATTTTGATCAGGTTAATTATAAGACTGGATCTTACCTTTTCTTCTTCATCAGACCCACTTGAGTGATTAGCAGTTGACCAAACAGGCATACTGATTGGCAGAGAAGTTGCAAACTTGTTAATGGTAAACATAGCATTGGCTTCATCATAAACACTGCTGTCTGTAGACACTGAGGAAATAAAAAGTATATCAAACACTTGTTCATCCTTGGTATTAAGTTTTCAATGCCAGTTCAGAATAAATTCAAGAAGAACTAGTTATTATATTTCAGTGCCTACAAAGTCAAACCATAAGAATTCATACATTGCAATCATCTGGCAAATAAAAAACTAGCCTGTTATTCACTTACAAAAACTGCCATAAAGGAAAAACAATTACATTTATGTCTCATAAATGCCACTTTTATTCCATCATTATCCGATATATAGTTTGCTACTATATATAAAATAAATAAATCGTAATAACTTTTTGGCCCTTGAATCATTGATTCACATGTAGGTTGCATGATAATTTGTTTATAAATATTATACACCTATCAGTCAAGTTTATTTAACCAATTGGTATCCCAGTGATAAAACTAGAACTGATATATCATCTGTAATTTATATATTGTTTATATAGCACTTATTTATAAGTACAAAAACAAAAAAACCAGGAGTGGTGTGTCAGCCTCACTACGCCACTACTGGCACAACTTGTGCCTCCCTCATCTTCAGTTATATAAAATGGCACAATAATCACTTTGTGGCCCTTAACTATTTGACTGCAGCTGCTGCAAATGTGCGTGGAAGTTTTGTGAGCTGTAATCTATATACATCACATTCAACTGCTGTACAGTGAATCAGCAGCCAATGAGTTAATAATCTGTGTTTCCCTCATCATCAGTTGCATGAAAGAGTACATTAATAGCTTTGTAACACTTACCATCAGTGTCTCCCTCGTCATCAGTTGTATAAAATGGGGCAGTATCTTCTTCCATGTCCACACCATCTATATCAAACATTGCTGCCAAAGACAAATTAACTTATCTTGTATTACACCAAATTCTACAATACTCTTTCAAATCCTATTGATATAGAGCATAGTGGTTGAGGGTTTACAAGTTTAAATGTCCAAGTTCAACTTTACTGACCAGGAGCAAAAATTTATTCCTTATTTTGATATTTATAACTATATCAAGTTTTTGAAAATGTGATTTAATCTGGTAATTATCTAACTTCTGTGATAACAGCATCTAGACAAATCACTGTAAATAAGGTTATCCTGCTTTTACCCTGTAGTTTGACAATGTTCAATAAAATGGCGTACATTAAGACAAAAGATGAACGTATACCTTTTGATTTTTCATTTCAAAACATAATACTTTTATGTAATGTCCAAACAATTCAAAAATATACTGAATTTCTCCAACTTTTGCCAGTTTCTTTAGCACCCTTCGAAACACATACACATTTATATTTGCAAGTTATGAAATGTCCACAGGTCAACTAAGTAACTATGCTTTTAATTCTGGAAGTTTTGAACATGAATTTACTATAAACAAGTTCATGATACACGTGTACCATCATTTTAATAATAATTTCCAATTTATCTGTATAAGGAGATAATTTTAATTTGACATTAACATTACATTTGCCTGTGGAGTAATTAGGTTATACTCTTCTTCTGCTCACTGAAGAAAGTTTCAAGACAACTGGATGCAAGATTTTGGGCAACACTGGAGTTGACTTTTAACTAGGTCATTATTATACTTTTAGGTTTGATAACTAGTATAAACTTGCAATTTTAATAGATGATAAATGATTTAACAGCTTTTCTGAACAACAAACTTTTTTTTAATTCTTAAGTTTTTATTTTGTTACATCTGAAATAAGAAGTGAGAAACAGTTTTAATTCAACAAGAAAACATGGCATTCTTAGTACTTCATATATGAAAATTAGGCCAAATAATCTTTTATTTTTGCATCCACCTGCTTCACATATACACATTACGATAACTTAAAAAAAAAAAAGTTCAATCTCTTTCATATGTTGTTAACTTCTATTTTTACAGATCTAATCCCTTACATCAGGGGTTCCCAAACTTTGCCAATCGGTGGACCTCCTTCAACTTCTTTACTGTATTGGCGGATCACCTCCCATTAAAAATAGTTTTTATCATGTGTAACTGGTGTATCGTGCATATTTTACTACATTTGGGATTTATATATATTGATAATTATCTTAATAATGTCTTAGCATTTTATTTTATTCGTTACTCTTTCAGTAAGTGGTAATTTCATAAATTTGACGTAATACTGCGGACCTCCTTAAATACTATCACGGACCCACAGGGGGTCGCGGACCACAGTTTGGGAACCTCTGCCTTACTTGAATTACAAAAAGAGTTAAGTGTTGCATATCTTAATGAATTTCATCAAAGTTAAGAAACAAAGAATACATTCAGGTAGCTTTTGTAATCTTTACAATGTATAGTTGTACATACAGGTCTATTTTCAAGCTTTACTGTTAGAGAAGTCATGAAATTTTGCCAACATGCGAATAGATAGAGACTCGTCTTCTTGACATTTCCCTGCTGCTGAAGACACTACAGATCATAAGTGTTATGACTTGACGACACTTGCATAACAAGTAATAGAGCTGAGAAATTTAATCTATTAATAAAAATTCAGATTATATCGATTGTCACGAAAATAATGAACTAATCAAAATTAGGGTTTAGGATTATTATTGTTTGATTATTCTAACTATCCAAGTAATCAAAATATTGCAACCAAACTTGCTTGCCCTGTCATTGTTAAGGAAAAGCTAATAAGTAACTGTCACTATTTTGAACTTCTGACTACAGGAAATGCAAATTTTTTTTGCTTGTAGGTAAAATGGTTTTAGGAACAATGTACTAATGGGTAAGTGGGGCTATTGGCTCACTGATTAACATAAACCACTAATCACCCAGCTCCAGTAAGTGGGCAGAGTAGACTAAGTCATATTGTACAGTGAATGATCAAAGTTGACTATAGGCTAATCACTACTATTATGTGGGAGACAGTCAAAGCTATTGATAAAGCTAATTAAAAAATACATTTTGGCCAGACACACGAGTTTGAAAATGCAAGTTCTCTTTAGAATCTGTGAAAAAGAACTTACTATAATCAATGATAAAACTATATAATGAATTAATCAATATCCTGTACAGAAAAATAGTAAAATCATTATTAGTAATCCAGGATGTACAGGTCAGTAATGTGTAGACTTAAACTAACTCTAATTTTTGTAAGCTTTGAGACGCATGTACTGTTTAACAGTTGAATACTATCTTTAAATTTGAGGCCACTCTTATATTTACAATGAAATGCATGAAACAAAATTCCCTATACAATACAAAGTTGAATCACTATCTGGTATAATAAAGATTAAAGCTTAGTGGAAAAAACTATCAGTTAAACCTAGCCCAAAATAATGCATCTTGTTAAGTTATATGAAATATTATAAATAACAAAACAATTAGAGATGTTAGTTTTTGCTATTGGCATTTTCAGTAATAGTGTAAATTACCGTATGTTGAAATGTTTTACTTTTTTGTATTATTAAAAAATTTTTTTTGGTTCACAATCTTTACCATAAACATAATTATATCAATAAAAGTGTTAATTTCTTGAAAGTCCTTTACTTTGAATGGACTCGTACCATATATTGTTTTTACTTACAAATGTTTGACCTGAGGCAAGGAGAGCCTTGAAGATAGTTGTAATATAAAAGTCAAATTTCCACTTTATTGAAGACAAAAAAAAACAAAAAAAAAACTAACAATACCTTGGGTATATTCTTATGAATCATTTAGACGTAAAACAATGTGTCAGTAACTTATTATTTTCTAAAAGCCATTACATATAGGACATAGCAGCACTTGATATACATAATAAAAAAAATTATACATATCAAACTAGAAAGCTGAGTGACAAATGGGAAAACATGGTAATTCATGTACTTTATGTTTCTTTAGTTTTCAAAAGCAAAACTAGATAGAAAGCAGGATGTTTCAAAAAGCCACAAAATGTACTATATGCTCTCTGTCCATAACGAGGTCTTGAATACAAGTTCTAACATCATGACTAAAAGACTGTTTATAGTTTTGTTGCTTGTTAATGTCGAGGCAAAATAAAAGCAATGTAAAAATTAACTCCTCCCAAAGGGGATTAAGATATGGACCTGAAAAATGGGAGGTTAAAGAATTAGGTTTTCCAAAAATATATAACCAAAAAATATGGTTGTATGCTTCAAAAAAGGCACTCTGAAAACACTGGAAATTTGTCAAGTCCTGACATTCTGATGACTTCTATGAGTCTGCACCCAAAAATTTATTATGATGTAAAGATGTTAAGTCTGTTCTTGAAATATACTTTATTTAAGAATTTTTACAACACAAATGAAATTTGAAAAGTTTAGAAATTGTGAATTTTCCAGTTACACAAAAGATATTGATGTTTTTCTTCCTGTATATTTGTTGTAGTTATATTGTTGCAATGTAACTAAAATTAGTTTATTCAGTTTGATTTTTTACTAAAATAAGTCAATGTAAATATATATATGTGAATAGTACACACACTGTGACATTACTGTAAAATTCAACAAAGTGCTTATGTCCTAAATTCTTTGTGTATCAGTATTTTCTGCCTGTTTTTTGAAGAGTGCCTTGAACTTGGTAAAAGTAAACATGAATAGTTCTAAGTATTACATTACCAATATCTAAAGATCCATTCTATATTTTTAGCTACTTCGTCATAATTCGCCTATGCTGGTGCTTTGGGGCATTCAATTTCTAAAATGTTATCTGCTGTCTGTCACAACTAGCTCCCAAAAGTCCACCTTCTATGTATAGAAATATGCCACATTTTTCAATAGTATTGCTTCTATACTTCATTTAATCTGCTACAGCCACAGGTTCCATGATAGTCAGCAGTCACTATTTTTAGATCAGAGCTTTGTAAGAGGCTCTTCACTTTATTTTGACATGATGCTGCTGCCCTCAATTCACAGATGAACCAAAATTGGGTGCTGTAAGCCTGTGTTGTCTCTTTTTGCTACGCTATAATCTCATTTTATCCCAATGTTTCATTTTCCAGTTGTTTTTTCAGCAGATAATTTTAGGTGCGTCTAGGTCTTATCTGGATGATTTGAATTTATTCAAAAATGACCCTTGTTACTTGAAATACAATTGTTTTAATTTTTGAGTTCTGTTGGTTTTTCTTTGCCAGCATACAATAAAATAGACAAAAGATAAACAAGATAAACAAGATATTAAAAAGTATGTTAACCTGTAAACCTTACTTCAAAATAAACTAATGTAGCCTGAATATAAGCCAGGGAACCAGTTCATTTAGTGGGACTGATATTCATTTATGTATTAGGAAATAAACTAATATTTTAACAAACTGGGTGTTGTTAACTTTATGCATAGAAAATACTGTTACTTGTTTTCCTGTTAAATATATTTTCAACAAGTCATCCATAGGTAAAATTACTGTACACACTAATGCATTATCTCTACATCCCCACCCTCTGGAAATCTTTAGATATCATCTATGAGAAGTAAATTAAAATACCATCTTTTATGCATTTTTGCGTAAAAGAAAAAGTTTACAATGCTACCTATTTCAAAAAAATAATGCTGATCTTTTCTTTGAAGTAGAATTTAAAAATGCATTGAATTACATTTTAAGTATACATTTTCTAGGTTGCTTGCATGTTAAAGCTATTTCATATAAAAACAAAACAAAAAAATAAACAAGTTCCAACAAATGACTTTAAAAAAAAAAGAGTAAAAAATCATTACACTGTTTGCTTTAGTTTTTTACAGTTAAGTATTTTGGAAAAACTTGTAAAATTATGATACATTTTTTTTTGTTTCTTAAATGAATACAAGCTTGGAATACTCATTACATGGTATTTATGATGGCCAATAATGCATTTAACATATTTATCTAATTTTCTATCTTTTGCTTGAGAAAATAATAGCAATTTAAAGCTTACCCTTAATTTGACTACCTTTTCTGAGAGTTGATATTGAAAGTACTACAAGTAAATATTCAGTTTTACAACAAATTACTTTCTTACCATTCGTATCGACACTTTTGGCCATTCTGGAAGGCTGCATATGTTTCTTTCTAAAACGATTCACATTTCGACCATGCATTGGTTTCTGAAACAGAATACATGTATTTCCTATTTGCTTAATTTTTTATTTTCTTTCTTTGTCAGCATATAAGAAACATCATTAAATTAGTTAAAACTTGAATCTCTTAGTCTAGACACTATTGGCACTACTACCTTGTAAAACATCAATGCATAAATATCAACCTTTCTAAGTGTAGATTTCCATTTGAAAAATCTTGATAATGGTATGAAAATGTTGTCAGTAGCAGTGGTGTAACTACAGAAGATGCCTCCTTCCCTGCCTAAAAAGTAACTGGGCCTCCTAAATATATTCCCTTTGTTGGCAATTCTTAAGTTCATCCGGACCTTTGGGCCCCCTTTTGACTTGGACTTCCCCACAATTGTGGGAACATACATGACTGGTCAGCAGTTGTGGTAAGATTATCTAGATTGGAAGCTTAGTTTTTATAATCAAAATTAAAAGTATTGCAAGCTGCTGTAATTTCTTTATTTAAGCAATTCTACAAAATGTGCAAAAGGTAAGATTCTTAGAATCTTATACATATTATAGTTTGTTTTATCATTACTTCAGATATACTTGTGTCTAGGCAGAGAAATGTGTATCATCATGTGGCAAACCTGAATTCTATAAGCTTCCAAAAGAAATTTACATCTACACCCCATTCGTTTTTTTTTTATTGTAAAAATTATAACAGTAGTAAAATTTGTGGTTTATTACCGATTTGCAAATTTTTGTTTGTTGATTTTAATGCAAAAATACTTGAGGGTCATCACACTAGCCATCCCTACGTTTGAAGTGATATATTAGAGGGAAGGCAGCTAGATAATTAACACCACTCACTGCCAACTCTTAGGCTATTCTTTCACCAGTGAATAGTAGGATTGACCATCACATAACACCCACATGGCTGAAAGGGCTAGCATTTTTGGTAATGGGATTCAAACAAAATTGTGTATACACAAACATGTTCTAATTTATAAACTGCCACAAATTCTTACTTTGATATAAAGAATAAAATATGCCTTGAACATGCTGTTTTTATTAATCTGCTTCATGCTGGCTGCCAGTAATAAAACTGATGCAAATTAATTACTTGATGTAGTCATGATATTTTATAAGGTTAGCTTCTTTCAGTTATCATTTCAAATAAATTATGCATTTTAACTTCTTTACAAATATGGAAGAATAAAAATAATGAAATTAATCACATTTTATGAGAACATGTTCAACATCACATTCTGTCAACTTTCTACAGATTGATCATTCTTAATCTGATAGTCATGACTACACACTGCAGTTCTTGTTGTAAGAAGATTCTCGAAGTCCAGTTTTAGACATCTTGACAAACTTTCCACAGGTGTATAAGCAGACTAAAAATAGACTAAGTAAGTGGTTGAATGAAACTTCTTTTATTTTAGTTCTTCCAACCATCTTTCTCATCAAAACAGTCACTGATTTCAAGGTGTAGCTGAAAACTTATAAACATTTGGTTTGTAAGCCTTCAACTTAAAAGCCTTGTACTAGAACATATACCCAGCTTTACTACAATAGCTTTTTGGGTTAGAAGGTTTGCTTTTGTAACCATAACCTTCTGTGTTCTTCTGCGTAAGTTTTTCCATTTCGAGGAAGAACACTAAAGGCTTCTTTTGTTGAAATGTTATGTCCTTTGATTCTACATCAATTAAAAATCTCAATGTATGAACATTTCCCTTGGAAAGGCTTTTTATATTTCATTAGACCCAAATTTATTCAAGGCAACAGTGCACTGTTGAATGGTTAAGCTAATTATACAAACACACACACACACACACACATATATATATATATATATATATATATATATACACTAAATTAAGTTAGTAAGGAGAGAAACATTACTATTAAAAGAAGTCAAGATCAATTTATGTTTAATAGTATATTTTCAACAGTAATATTCAATATATAAGTAATCAAGTCTAATGTTTCTTGTTAAGCACAAAGATACATAATGGGTTATCTGTACTGAGCCCACCACAAACACTAAAAATTAGTTTATATAATTATAAGCCTTCAGACTGACTGTGAGCCACTGGAGGACAGAATTTGAGTCAACAAAATATTTTCTCATTGCCTACTGTGCTTGCTAAACCTAAGCTTCTCTGACATATTGTCACAGAAGAAAGATTCTGTATAACTTTCAAACAGATATTTCACATTCAATGTAATAATAATAATAAAAACAAGGTACTGACTGGTAGAGAATAAACTAGTTTTCCCTGCTGAAGAGCCTGGGAAACTTTAATGGTTGCCTGGGGAAACTTATCTCTGCTTTCTCCTTGACCAGCCATTCCATCTCCTGAAGACAACTCATCAAATTCTGGTACAAAACAAACACCACAGAATAGGAAACTATATTTCATAATGTCAAATATGCATATTTTACAATGCAACATGAAGTGTTTTTGTGTTTAACTATGGAGTCTATTACTACTAATTTGAAGTTAAAAATTTAAAGGTAAAATTTTAAAATTTCTTAGCAATTGTAAATCTCTACTCATAAAAGTTAGCCCTTACATTTCAATTTTAAGCATTTTAACTCTAGACTGTAAATGGTTGATTAAAATGGTATGTTTAAATACTTAAATTTTAACTATGCAGCTAAAAATTAATAAAATCCAGTAAAACATTAACACTGATTCTAAATTTCCTTTCTTCTTTAAACTTACAAACCTATTTTACTATATAATATCCAAACAAGTAACAAAAATATAGTAGTAACAAGCAAAATGGAAAGAAGTTCAACTTTATATTATTACATGTTAGAGAAAGAGACAGTTATAAAAAAAAAAGATTTGGTATACACTAGTAATTACCATTTAAATTTCAGTCTACGTTGGGTGTTGTGTTAAATCCTCAGTGAACACTGAGCCAGTGGCTTCATATGCCTTTTAAATTCATAACTTAAATTTTACTTTTTCTTTATGTTAGTTAGTTCGTTTTTTGTTCTTTTCTTATAATGAAAGCTTAAAAACTCCAAAAATATGCATCAATTTGAAATAGCTTAAAACTTCTTACCTGTATCCTGTTCTTCTGTCATGGGTGTAAGAGGTGGTGACAAAGGACTATCAATCATTGCATCAGCCAGTGAATCTGTTACCTGTTTTTCCTGCAAGTCTGCTAGCATATACACCATAATCTGTTTGTCTTCATGTGCTCTGGCTTGTAAATTGGCAAACTCAATTTGTTGCTGTTCTGTGTATTTCCTAAAAAAGTAAGGAATTTTGGATATTATGGCGCTGAACAGGGTAATCCCAGCGTACTAAGCACACATCAGTACTTAATGGCACTGGCATCCTGAGAAGTTTTCAGAAATTCACCAAGTAACTTTCAGAAAGTCTTCTTTACCAAGGAAAGCAGAATTTCAGTTAGTAGTGTCACTGACTAATGTCATTTGTGTCAATGTCCTTAGAATATAATTATAAGGAACACTTTACACTTACAACTAGTAGTTTACTTTTTGAAGTAAACTTTATAACTCCATTGTCTGACAACTAGAATAATTATAAGGAACACTTTACACTTACAACTAGTAGTTTACTTTTTGAAGTAAACTTTACAACTCCATTGTCTGACAACTAGAATAATTATAAGGAACACTTTACACTTACAACTCCTAGCTTAATTTTTGAAATAAATTTCACAACTCCATTGTCTGAAAATTAGAATAATGCCTTCATTCTTGTAGACATACTAGAAATTTGATTTTTTTTACCTTCATCAAGGAAAGATTAAGTTGGTGAAATTAGCTTTCATAGAAAAACTGGTGTAAGTACATGAATTTCAGTTTACCAAATTATTAAGGATATTCTAAATAAAGCATGATGTGACTCAAACAAACCCACCTACTGAAACCCTTAACTACCGTAATGAGTCTTCTGTGAAGGTAGATATTACAAACTTTTGTGAAAGGCTATAAAACCAAGTTAGATCTAATTTAAAGACAATTCATACCTGATCCTTTCTTGCATTGATTGCTGTTCTTGTCTCAGGAAACGTGACACCTGTTGTTGCACAACAGTCAGAGCAGGCTCCAAATGGTTGTACTTGACATATTCTTCAGCTGAATAGACAGATTAGAAATATCAATTTTAAGCAAAAACATTTTGTACTCAAAGTGACAAGTTGAGTGGGTGGGTGGATAAGGTGTAGTTCATTCCTACCAAGTTGCATATGTTACCATGTAAATGCCTTCTAGCATACATTTAACTAGGCTAACACTTTCTGTATTAATATTAGAATTTTTAGTTGAGAGTTAATAAATTTAAAGTATTTTGGAATAGAAGACATTTGGTTTAAAAAACAGTGCAGTTGTTAAACAGGCACAGTAGTTTGTATCAGTACCATTGAGATTACACTATTAGCCAATTAACCTTCTCTCATAAACTAAGATTTTTTAAACATATTTGCATTAATTTTTGCAGTATTTTCAGAATCTCATCTTGTATCTATTGCCCAAATTAAAAGTTTTTCATTCAAGGTATAGTTACTGTCTAACAGAACTATATCTTGGAGTTTGAGGGACAAATTATTTTACTAATAGTAACTTCTGGTAATGGGTATAGCTAATTAAATATAGTTTTCTTATATTCTTTCTTATAAAGATTAAAATGCATTGTTTCATCAGTTTGTTACCTTCATTGTTAATGATATTTTTGCCATGTTTTTGTTTTGTATAGTGAAATTTACATTTAAGTTTTTTTTTATATCTAGATCACATGAACTTAGTTGTATCTGTGTCAGCAAATTCATAAAACATCCTGATGATTTGAATAAACATTTCTATAGTGTTGTTTCAACTACTAGCTACTAGCTTTGGAATCAAAATGCACTAAGATACCTAACATCAAGCTAACAATACATCTGTCTTTTTTTTTGTAATACATCAGAAGATGTTATATTGCCACCTTTTGATAATAAGTGTATATAAAAATCAAAACAACATGCAATTCCTCATGTGCTTACCTGATGCTTTTCTGTCCAGATGGAGAGACCTTGAAGGAAGAATGATCTTAAACAACCTTGAATAATTTTCAGATTTCATTAGAGATGCAACCTGGCTAGACCCTTTCTGAAATAAAGATTTCATTAGATATCAGGATTAACACACAGTCATGATGATAAAATTCAAAGACTTCTTATGGACTTTAAGGACTCCCAACAACAGACATTCATGAAACTTTTAACAAATTATCTTTCAAAATTCACAGAATCCAACTTAATGTATTTAGGCAGTTTCTTGCAGAGATAAACTTGCATAATAAGATATCCTGAAACAGCTGTACTTTGTCTACAACCTATTAGGTGCAAATCCTATAGAACCTAATTAGCCTAAAATCTGTGTACATCATTAATAACATGTCTCTGTTAATACTAACTTGTAAAACTTTAAAACCTGAAAGTTTAATGCAAACACAACTTTACTTTAATATCATGGTGAATTTGACTCGTACAACTGGAAAAATCTAGAAAAACCTTTTCCTTGGAAAACAAGAAACTGCATCACTACAATAGACAATTTGGCATTACCACTTAAATAGAATTTTTTTAAGTTCTTTCTCTATTTCTTCCAGTTCCCTTTATTTTCTCATTCTCTTTAAAACACTTTGACTCTGTTATGAAGACAAGTTTTCGATTCACTCAGCTTTTGCTGCTAGGCTCTCAGCAGACTTATTTAACTGTTCTTCATCCACTTTAATATGTTTCCTTCCATCTTTAGTTTCTTCTATATCATCCAACATATGTTTTCTTTTTTCTGTTTTTCATCCCTTTTCCTTTGCTGTTTTTGATCTTCCAGATAAAGTTCATAATAGCTTTAGGAACTTGAAGCTGAAATGAGTAGTTCCCTAAAAGATGGGAACATTTAGTACTCTTCCACCCGATTTTACATAGTTGTAGATTATATGCTGAGCTACTATTGACCCTTCATTCAGACTTTCAGCTTCTTCTTCCTTATTTATAAAGAAACCTCTCAATGCTTGTCTGTCCATGTGACAAGAAAAGTAGGAGTTTCACAACTTTCAGAAACTTGGTGTATGCAGTATCTTTCATGTACTCACATTATCAGAGCTCTTATCAAACTTTTCAGAACCAATAACAGGGATCATATCCAGGAACATGGAAAGCTACTGAATTCTTTTCTTCACAATCATTTTCTTTCAACATCTTTGCCCTTAACACTATTTCCAATACACATTGATGAATCACAAGCCACATTTATTGGGTTCAAGCACAAGAGGTTTTTAATCAATGAATAGAACAGGAGACATTTCTTCTTTATAAGATTAACAAGAAAATCTCTACATTCAAGCCAATACTCAATGATTTTTTTTTCATTACAGTTCACCTTTTAAAGAACACTTTTTATTATAATACTAATGAACTTGTTTGTAGTAGACATAGTTTTCGTTTTTCTTGACATCAACTAACAATTCTGTCAACACAAAAAAACTGCAGAAATTAGATCATTTTCAATTTCCTCATAATTCTCAGATGAACTCACTCAGATTATCTAAAATGAAACAGACCATTGGCAAATGTGTTTGGCAAGCTGTCAAGAAATGCACAGCATGGAAGAAATGAAGCTTGCATTTGGAGAGTAGGTCACTGACAGCTACTAGAATGGTCTATTCTCAATCCATTAATGGTTGCAAACTTCAGAGGAATTTTTGATGAATCTGAAGCAATTTTGCAGTAGTCTTCCCTCATAGCTGGAGAATCATTAAACAAATAATATAAACTTTTTAATACAGGAATAATATTCCAACCAGAGCAACAGATCCTGCCTTAAAACTGTTGTGCAAAATATGAATCCCACATGATCCAATGTTTATGATGATTGTGTCATAATTATTTGAAGTTTTTTTCAATGTCATGGAATTTCCAACTTACATTGGGATCATTCATACTGATGTGAACCATATTTCTGATGTTCAAATCACTCTGACGAACATAAAAACTAAGTTCTCTAATGTAGCATGCACTAAGAGAGATATTTTAATAATAACAGCTTAGTATTGGCTAAACTTCCAACAACTAAAAAAAAAAATTACAGCACAGGTAAATACCCAACAAACTGCACAGGTATTATAGTATTCCAATAAATTATATTCCACAACATTCCCCAAAATCAACTACAGAGCCTTGAATTGTTATTTTGTTTAACTTTGTAATAATTATTTTACAGCAGTTTTATTCACTAAACTCAAAATTAATGAAAGGTAAAAATGATATAAAACTAAATATAACTTAAACATTTAAAGAAGGCCAAATTTTAGAACTGTGTTCTTGCTTAGAAATTCTGATCCAAAATAACTGGGTGCCAACACATCCATTCATCCAAAATCACAGAAGAATGCCCATTCATTTCTGTTGATTCTTCGTATTCAGCATTTCATCAAACAAGACAACATAACATATCTTCACAGACTGCAATAACAGTTTCTTAAAGTGTTCAGCTAAGGCAAATATACTCAAGTATGCAATCTTTCTATCACCATATTCAAATTTTGCTGTCAATGGACATTACATGAAATAATTTACTAATATCAGCACTGAAATTATAAAAGCTATGAGTAGCAACAACATGAAGAGATCACAACATTTCAGTGTGCAGTAATTCATTTTTACAAGCAAGCTCTGTCATGTCTAATACTGATAGGCCAACAATGGGACCACAAGCACTAGAAATTCTTGGTTTTGTTCCACTATTCAAAGAAACAGATGTGCTATTTTTCCTGAAGAAACTCAATATACAGTTTTTCTTAAAAGCCTTCACACTTGTCTAATGCTTTTCTTTTCACAATTGTGATATTAGTTCACTGTCACCCATTTTGCACAGATCAATTACTTTATTATAAGCAACACAACATGTCTTATACTGACATCTTTTGTATTCTCTGGCCCAATTTTTGAATTCATCTTGATCTAACAAATTTCTACTGAATAAGCACTTTCTTATGATGAAAGATGAAAATATAATATTAAAATTAACAATTAATGAAAAAAAGCTGAGATATGATAACTTATCAACAGTTTTCCTTATTCCACCGTTTCCCTTTGTGCTTGGTGCACTGACATTAAAAAATCACGGTCAAATTGTTGGGAAAACATTACTGAAATCACATTTCTACAAAAACCACACAAGAGTTGAAAAAATACCAGTCTAGGAAAGATAAATAACACTTAGTGATTAACTGGACAAACAAAACTTCAGAATGGCCTGAATATACATAAAACTAAAGGATAAATTATGATAGAAATTTATAGAAGGTTTTGATTTAAGGATTTTTAAAGTTCTGTTGAAACTCAAGTACTTTTTAAGGCAAAATTTGAATTTAAGGACTTTTCAAGGCAATCATGAAATTTAAGAACTTTAAGCTCTGTGTGAACCCTAGACATGCTGTCAAACTGGCTGGATTCTTCTTGAAATAAAGATTTCATACGATGTTTTAAATGGCTATTCTTTGTGAAATACATTTCATCAAATATGTTAAGTGGCTAGATCCTTCCTGAAACAGATATTTCATCATATATTACTTAATTGACTAGATTCTCTTTGAAACAAATATTTCAATTATATATAGGACACACACACACACACACACACTATATTCTTCCCAAAATATATTTCAAAACAGAAGTGAACTGGTTACTTCTTCTTAAAACAGTAATTTTTAGTTTGAACTTTTTAATAATAATGTATAAAAGCTGCTTCTCAAATTTGACAAATATTATAGGGTAAAACTAAATTATAAGATGAACTTGTATACAAAACTTTAATAGTTGCAAATTTCCACTTCTATGGCTAGAGCATGAATGCAGTTACATCAGTTTGATAATAATTCCTAACTGGTTCTTAAGCATTTTTAATGATAATACATTAAAAGAAAAAATGTGTACTGACCTCCAAGGTTAGATTTACCAGAACTTTCTCTTCGCCTTCCTTCCCCTGGAGGGCATGAGTATCCTTCCCACAACAGCTGCACGTCCATATTTTCCACTTCCCTACCTGGTGGCTTTTACACAACATGGGTTGTTCCTGTAAATAAAAATATTATTCATAGAGAAATATGAAGAGTAATCTTTTTTTCACAGTCCAATAACTTTATAGTATAAAATACTGTTTTATACAACATAGACAGACATGGATTTGGTTACCACTATTGGATGAAATATAAATGATCATCATACACACACATAGATAGATATTAGAAATATTTTAAACTATTAATACCAAATCAAACTTTTTAACAGACATAAAACTTTAGAAATACTAATGGAACCCATCAGCATTTTAAACATATTTCTCTAAATTATTTATGCACAAAACTGCTTGTAGGTCCACAACTAATAACATGAGCAACACAAAACGAAAAAAATAAATAGAAAATTATCAATATTAATACCACTTATTACTGCTTGGGTTACATATATATTTTACACAGAAAATGAGTGATTCTTGAGCTTTTGTTGGTCAGTTCTCCCACTGAACATTGTAACAGGTAAAAACAATTACAATTACTCCCGACACAAAATGTATAATGAACAACATACAAACAAGTTGGTATCCCCCCCAATAATTTTTAAGTAATTAAATATTACAAATTTTAAACTTATTTTGGTGAAATGATGTGTAATTAACATACAATGATTACAATTTAATAGAATAAATAAAATATACAACAGCAATTACTACCTGGATAACTGCATATGCTACATATAAACCACATAAGCCTCCATTAGTTAAAACCCCTTAACCATCAACTATGGAATATAATTATCAGATCTTAACAGCCAAGAAATATTGATGATAGGAACTGTCACCAAATGAAAACTTTATTAGGAAACGTTTAACTGGTGCAGTATTTTTACTTACACATCTGATTGAATTCTTTTTTAAATTAAAGTTGCATTTGAGGTTAAGATTCTCAGCTGAATATAACACCAGGCTTATTTCATCTTTTCATTTATATAAAACTGTCCTATGATAGATTTAGCTCAACTTATTTCAATAAATACCTTAGTTATGCCCCCTATGTCAAGTATCACCTCTGCTACGTCTGATTGAAAAAATGAATCTTTGGCATTCTCACCAACAACACCAATTGTCTCATTTTCTACTTTTTGTTCAGAATTTCCTTTCGTGTGGATTTGCACATTCAGGCAATTGCAGAAAAGGAACATGACAGTGGCCAACACCCAGTCTAAAACAGCATAAAAAAAAAGTCAGTGTTTAACAATTTCATTAAATCAATTGTTTGCTGCAGCCTAAATTAAACATCCAAGCTGTGTGTAACAGCTTACAAACATCAGAGTTTAAGGCGATTTACTTTTTTTTTCCATAATATAAATTGTTTAGTCAATCAAGCAAAATATAAAGATTTATAGATTAATATTTCTTGCATAATTGAATTTTATATGAGCTCACAATATTTTCAATATTCATCAGTTGGAATATTTAGCTTAAATAACACAACTTTTTGGCCATGAGGAGGAAATAAGCTAACATATAATAATAATGTGGTGAACAAAAGAACTGCAACAATGTCACATATCAGTAAAAATAACTTTAACCTGCAATTTCAGTTCAAAGACGTACAGGTTATTTAAAAAATAATATTTGATTAGTTTGACATATTAATGAAAGAAACAAGAACAATAACAAACAATTTCTAAACAAAATCATGTTTTTACTGCTAGTAAAGATCTTACTGAAGGCTACACTTGCTAGTTCAAACTTCAATCATGTGTTGTCCTTTTTATTTTTATCTTATAGTACTTATCTTAAATATTACTAAAAACACAACAACATTCAAATAATATTTTTGATTCATACCAAGCTTAGAGAATTAATGCTTGTTTTACTCAGAACAGTAACAATACATTAACATTATAATTAAAGAAAAGTTAAGCCTACCATACGCATGTCTAAAATAGTGTTCATTACACTGAACAGTATCTTTAGAATACATATACATTACTACAACTGCATCATTCTACCCAATTCTCAGATTCAGATGTCATCCTTTTCACAGATCAGAAACAAGCTTACATTTCTAATCAACAGAAATAATGGCAAGAAAATAGTAAATCAACAATTTATTCTCAGTGTTACTTTTATGTATACCTAGTCTAGGTTTAAATCTGACCTTAAAGAATGTATGGGTATTACAAAATATACTTAGTTACTTGTCAAATCACCAGCCTTCCATCATTCTATCTGGCATTCATTTATTGTACAGTTGTTACAAAATAGAGAATTCAATCTTAGTATCAGTTGAAACATGTTTTGCTTTTTCTGCTAACTCATTCAATCTTACTACATTAGGATATGTACTATGTCTTTTAACATAGATATATCTCACTAGAACAGTCATGTCTTACAGTCATCAAGAGCATGTTATGCTTTATATGGCAGAGATCTCTCACGTGTTTGTACAGATCTCATGTTCAAAGAGTCTTTGTATAAATAGCAATACAAGATTTGTTATCACTTTTTTCATGTGGCTATGTATGTTGCCTAACCATTAACTTGATAAATAAGCCAAGTGCTGTTGGAATCTTGCTAAAATCTGATCTTTTAAGATTATTTTTTAAATTAACCAGATAGGAAAAAGAAATTCGTTAGCATAACAAAATAATTTATTTCAATAAAACAATTCAATAAATGTGGTTCTTCACCTTGACCTTAAAGCCACTGGGTACAAGGTAGAGGAAGGTATTGTTCATTTTAAGTTTTGCTCAAAATGAGTTGCGTTTTAAAATGATCCTTTGCAGTTTTAAGTGTTTGGGGTTTCGTGTCTTTTAAATAAGCAAGTGTCAAGTACTGTAGAATGAGGTCATGCAGTAAGTTCTTAATTGTTTAATCACTTCAGTAGGCTTATGCCTGTGGCTTTAATGAACAAAAACATATCCACTTATTTATGATTTGATTGCATTTGCTAGTACTTTTCAACTCAAAAATTCACATTTTGATTTGATCTTGATTTTAGCTCTACTTTTATACAAATCTTAATGATAAGTCTAACTTTCAATTTCACATAATGTTGTGTAAAACCATCAGTCATTTTTCTAATAAATTCCAAATGAATGCAAAGAGTGTATAATAATATGTCAAGACAGCATTATAAACCATTTGATAGAATAAAACTCTGCCTTTCTGTTGTTTATAAATTTTATAGTATAAAAATGTCAAAGAGAATTATTGGCAATTTGTGGAAGACTGGATGTGGCAAGTGGGTATGATTTTTCTACTTTATGACTCCATAGACAAATAAGATTGAAGGCAATAAAAGTTACACTTTAGCATAGCAATATCTTTATTATAATTAGTAACTTACATTACATTCTGTACTTCAGAGAGGGATGGTAAATAAATCAGGGAAAGAGGCTTAGAAAACAAATAGCATAATTCTCATACTGGGGGAGATTGAGAATTTTTTTAAATACCTTCTCATAAAATTAAGAACTCAAAACTTATATAATATTAAAAGTTGAATGTATCTTGAAAGGTCATGGCATGCACACTTTGACTCACCCATTGGAAGAGAGCTAAAATCACTAACAAGCTTACAAAAAAGTTAAGATTTATTTCCTTATTTTTCAAATCATTTCAGTTAACTGTGTGTCCAATCTATCAACTGATTCACCACTTAATACTTGAGATAAACTGATTTAGAAGATTTCCACCTCTCAACAGTAACCCTGAACAAGGGCAAATTAGAAGAATAAGACTAAGCTTCTTATAATTTATAATATTTTAAACAATTATCTGTTAAATAATTTAGAAGAAAGAATTAGTAGTATCAATGCTGCATATTCTTGAAATTCTACACATACAGGTTCAGTGTGGTGAGTAAATAGACTACTCAAAATGCCATATGTATAATTTATGCTCCACTGCTACATGAAGCCTAGTATTATTTTCTTATTTTAATTTACTCTTGTCCAAGGTTACTGATGAAGGATGAAATTCCCTGAAACTAAGTCAAATGATAGATTGAGCTTTTTTTTCTTATTTTAATGTGCATCTGTTTACAGAATGAATAATTATAATAAGGTATCATTACTTGTAACTGGAATAAAGTTTCTGTAATGAAAAAATTATTTAAACTTGTAACATACACAACTTGATTGTCACAAAAAGAGCTTTATTTCAAAATCTTTAATTTTGAGAACAAAGGTGTAACTGTATTAACATAATGTTTTCTATTTTTGTAGGTCTGTAGCAACCACCATAGCTTGATAACCAAGTTCTGATATTGTAAACATGTCAATGCCACAGCACACTTGGTATATGAACATTTGCCAAGACTTAAAAAGAAGCACAGTTCATCCGTAGATAAAAACAGAACTAGGACATTCTGCTTTCCAAGCACACACTTTCTAATCTTTAAGCAGTCTGGTTATTTCATAGAGCAAGTTATTTTTTCTATACAACACAAGGACATGTCATTAGCTAATGCAAGAGATCTACATAATAGATAATAAAGAGTAAACTGCATGAGTAATATATGTAATTAAAGTTCATTTTGTAATGTCAGCTAATTTATCCAATTTCTCTCCTTCTTTGTTATTCTAAGTATATACTATTAAACTAGCAAAATCTTTTTTAACTCTACTAACTGAGGCATTTGTTTAAAATAAATAAAAATAAGTATTTGATAATAATAGACATGTTTTACGAGAGGTTACAAAATCACTCCTGTGACAAATACTAGAAACTATTCCTGTCCTACAAAGAGAAGGTTAACCCATTAACACAGCAGTTTAAAACCTGCACTTAGCCAAACAGAAGAATATTTTTGAAACGTGACCTTGGATATCAAATATAGAGAAAAATCATTTTTTGAATTATACATCATTCAGTGCTGAAGCTATTGCAGTGATATAAATATAGATAGGAAGACAGAAAGTGAAAACAGTTCAAAACCCATTCTTCAGTCATATCTTTATACTCTTATTCCAGAAAAACAAGTTATCTGTATGCAACTGAAATGCTGTGTAGTTTAATAAATAAAAGATATTGTTCTTTACACATTGTCAATTTCCAGAAAAACTTCTAAATAAGTACATTGAAACATTTTATCTTCTATAGCAATATTAACCAAAAACAAATTTTACACATTGTAAGAAAATTTTAATCTGAAATCAAATACACTTAAGTAACAAAAAAAATCTTGTATTTAAGGTAAACCACTCAATAAATCACTACTGCAATATATAAAAATAGCTTTGCCTAGAGACAACTAAGCCTTAAAAAAGCTTTCCCTATACTTTCCTTATCAATCCTGTATGTAAGTAACTTACGATAACCAACATTGTCAAAACTTTTACTGCTTTTAAACACATAATTAGGATAGATTTCAAAAACTATAAAAATGTTAGTTTGACCTCTGTGGTTAGTACTATATTGGAACCTACTGTAAAGGGGTTTGGAACTGTATGCAAGAAGTGGGATTGAATCAATATAATCAATATGATTTTTAGCAAACCAGAACCATGCCTGCCTTCCAACTTTTTTTGAACTGTTTCTGCTTTTCTTTAGAGTGGGGGGGGGGAGGATATGTTCTTGATTTAGAGAAGGTTTTTATAATATGATGCCTCGCACATATTGAATTGGATGTTAGATTATCAGTACAACAAAGTTAAAATCTTCCAGATTTGATAGCTAATTATCCTGCTTCACAAAAATTACAAGCAATGGGTGTTTGCAAATGGACAGTTTCCTGATTGGGTAAAAATTCTGTGGACAACATTTGCTTTGTTTTTTATTTATGTTTTAATTTCTAGTAATATGCTTTGCATAAAACCCTTTTTAGGCTCATTGTAGAAAACTGTGTTCACTATATAAAGGATAAAGATTGTTGAAAAGCTTAAAAACTACTAAAGGAATTCTTATTCTAAAAAAACAAGTTATAAAGCTAAACTTTAGCAATTATATTTATCACTTCAGACTGGAATGAAAGAAAATACAGGGTACTGATTCTGGTGTTCAAAATGGTACTTTTTTATGACACCTATTGAATGGCACCACAAACAAAAATCCATAAAAAAATTTTACAGTTTGGGTATTCAAGTTTCAGACAATTAGAAATATAACTATGGTATGTGCAACCATTTCTTTATCACAGAATACAATTTTAAATAAAAGTACTCTCCTCACAACAAGAAAAGGGCTTTCATTATGACTGTACACGAGGGTTTGATTATATCTTTATTGACATATTTTGTAAATATATTACTAAAAAATGGAGTTCTTAAAAATAATTAGAAAAAAATTAGTACCATCCTACTAATCCCTTTATAGATTGTCCTATTTTTTGCTTTGCAAAAGATTAAAACAAAAACTTCAAAAAATCGTCCTACACAAAGTATTGATTTAATATATACATCTATACTCAATTCTCAGCATGAAAATGTTCTTTTTGCTTTTCCAACTTCAAGTATTTTTGGACAAGAGTGTCATAGTTGTCACTGTACATCCTGATTTAAAAAAACAAACAAAAAATCTTTGATAATATACTTCATAAGAGATAACTGGCAAGCTGAATGTGTATGGGATTGATGAAAGAGTTAAATTGATAGAGAATTGGTATAATTCCCATAATGCACTGGTAAAATTCTTTAGGGATCTCTTTTTGAATATTTAATGCTCATTATTTACAATTTGCATAATGTCTATTAGCCTTTCTCTGCACTCATTCCAGCAAGTAAATACTCCTGCTAAGTGAAAGGGAAGAATTGAACAAAATATTTCAATAGTCTCATAAAAGGATTTAGTCTCAAGGGGACACAGTATATGCATGTGCATATACAAACAGCAGAACATCCATTGTTCAGAGTTTCTCACTCATCCTCAATACACTTGACACCATCCAAGTTGACTGTGACATCTTTCAGAACAGATGATGCCACATAATTTGTGTCAATGACAAAAATATGATTCTGTCATATCCCTGTTCACTGCAGAATGGATGCTTCAACACACGTCCTTCATGTGCCTCACTTCAGTCAGAAGCATGTGATTTGGTTAAATCATCTGAACAGCTTGCTTGACTCATGGAAATTACCAAGGGGAACTGTAATGATGACACATTTTCATCAATTTGGACTGCTGCATGTGATGTCATCCAAAATCCACAGACCAATGGCCAGCAAAGCAAATGATCTCACATTTCCAGTGATAACCCCAAAGACTACTGGAGACTTAACATCTTCATTCCTTTCATTAACCATTTGAGCAGAAAAGTTCAAACATGACTTTGTAATCCTTTACCCAGGCTAAAGGTCCAGTATCTGCTCCATTTTTACAGAAACCAGTTGACTTCTGCAATGTGATGTGGTATTAAGTCATAATACACAAACTCCCTTCCCTCTCTACTGTGTGTTGACACTGAACTGACAGCATGGTATGCATTGATCAATTCCAGTGATGTTTTGGATGATGAACGTTCTTGTGCATGTAAAGATGTGTACATTCTATCTGAACATCTACATCTTCAGGGTTCTTCTCTGTATGCCATTATCAACATTAGTAGCAGAATGTGCATTCAACACTCTTCATCACCTTCAAACATACCTCCAGAGTATGATGGGTAATGATCAACTTACTGTACTCGCTTTAATTAATGTTCATCAAGATGTAAACATAAACAATGAATCAAATCTGCAAGCATTTGATGCTTCAGGACATCGATGTATTGTCCTCCTCTTACAAAATGATTAAATCTGTAAGAGGAATTTCTTCTTTTAAACTTTTAAAAGCATGTGTGTAATGATCATATGTGATTTGTGCTACATATCATTGATTTTGTTTGAATAGTATTTCACTAGTAAACCTGTACAAAAATGTATGATTTTTTTTTGGGGGGGGGGGGTTCTGAGGGCACCACTGTACATATTCAGTTCATCACTTTACACTTTTCACAACACATTCTTCCAAGTGATATCCACTCATTAAGATTGTCTAGGTTTACCTGAATTAAACATTCTCTACATTATAAGCATTACTCACAATCTTTATATTATCAGAAAATATGCATAGCTTAATGTCCAAGAAGGTATTAAAATCATTGACATAAAAATATAACAATAACTTCAAATTAACAACCCCTTAAAGGACATAATAGTGACATTCTTCCAATCAAAGTGATGCCTATACATCAATACTTTCTGCTTTCTACTATAAAACAAAATTTCTATACTTTTCTAATCTCATTCATAACTTCATAATGTTTTGCGATTAAACCTTATCAAAAGTTTTTGAAAGTGAATTTACATATCAACTATGATCTCATCTTAAGACTCAGTAGACTAACCTTATAAAAACTTCTGACCAGTTAGTAAAGGAAGAAAACTCCTTTCTAAAACATAATGAGATTTATTTAAGTATGAGCTTTCAAGTTCATTTCTGACACCAGATATGAATACTTCATAATTAAAACAAGGTATTTAGTTAGCTTGCATTTTAGTGGTTCCTCCCCTAACTACTATTTTTTTTCTAACTTGGGCCAAACTGTTATTTTTCAATCATCACAAATTTCCTTAAAGAATAATAACCAACTTAAAGCCTCCATCTATTTTTTACTCAAATTTA